GGTGGATCGATTGGCCGTTGGCGTTCGCTCGGAGCGCTGTCGGCGTCGCGGGTGCCTCCACGAGAAAGCGTGCCACACCGGCCATGTGAACAACTAGATGCCAATGGAGGGAAGAAAAAATGGCATCTCAATTTCAGAAGTCCGCTGAAACGTTAGTTAATAATAGTCCCCGGTTTCTATCATGCGTTTATGAAGCAAGGTCGTAGCAAAAGTCGCTTCCAGGCTAACTTACGACTTACTACAATATCTAGTTCTAGATTGGAGTTTACAGAACGTAAACCTGCTTCTGAATTAAATAGGCATAATAACGTGTTATTTCCCATAACTATATCAGTAGCTGGTTAATAAGACATGCATACTATATTTGCAATTAGCAAATCAGATAGGAATATGCACCGAACGGCTGCCTCATTCCTACCGGAGGTGAGCATGTGAAAACACTAGTTACCCTGGGGAAAGTTTTGGCGGGCGCGCTGTCTCTGTACAGGGGACGCAGACCAGTAGTTACAGACACATCACACTGGAATACCCTTTCAAGTCGGCATATTATGGTAGAAATAGTGGTGCAAGGAGAGTCTTCCTAGGGGAGCCTCGGGGCGGACTCTAGAGCTCTGACTCATATCCCAATGGCTTACTTGTCGCCCCAACGACCTTCTGCCGGCACGCACTCCTTTCAACCTGAAATCACGCACGCACTTTACTTCGCCACAATTTACATTTCCGCGAGCATTCGTTATGCGTGAACTCTTTTTTCGGCTGTCTCTCTCTCTCTCTCTCTCTCTCTCTCTCTTGGCGTGCTCTGATTGGACGCGTCTGACGACGAATCGATTAGCCTTGCCGCGTGCTGACCAGCGACAGTTCGACCCTCGATTTCGAGGATGCCCACCATATTCTCTAAACAAGTTGGTGCAGGGGGAATTGATTTGGGGGCAGGGGGCTAGTTTTAAGTGAATATAATGACGTCGAGCACCATCTACCACACCCTAAACCTTCACCCACCCAAGCCGGTGTCATGACAGCTTCAAGATGAACAAGGCACAGAATCAAGCGTTGGCCACTTTCTCCAATGCAGGCCAGAACACCGCGCCTTATTAAGTTTTAAGTGATAGAAGACTGCGCACCTCATATGAGAACTTAAATGTGCTCGTAGGTAATCGGTCCCTAGTATGCAGTCCCAAAATATATCGGGGCAAGCACTATACATATGGGTTAACGAAACATTTATATGGAGACTGGGTGCAAGTTCAAACGTGTTCGTCTTTTCGGACAAGTGAGTCGTGGGAATGGGGATGGGGTCGATAAGCGAAGGCTGGTTGTGAGGATAGGTTCCCACCAAATTATCCGAAGTACCTGGGTTAGCGCCTGCTAGCAATAGCAGAAGCGACCGCTATCAGGCTGATGAAGCCCGCGTTGTGTGCACAAAAGAACTTCCTAAAAGCCCCACAGTTGCCGTGGCCCACAGTCACTATGTTTGTCTGCCTCCCCCCGTATCCCCTTTCCCCCGTCTCCCCTCCCCCCTTTCCTAGACTGCTCCATCAAACCCAACCCTCACAACCAGCCTTCGCTTATCGACCCCACCCTCATTCCCACGACTCACTTGTTGGAAAAGACGAGCAAGTTTGAACTTGCACCCAGTTTCCATATAAATGTAAAGCCTGACGAGAATTTGTCGAAAGTACACGTATACTCGCCAATTTAGACTTCTGCATTTTCTGATGGGAATTTTTGCAAATAAGAGACATTAATAAATAATAATCCCAGTTTGTAGCATGCCTGTATGTAGCAATGTCTTAACATTAGTCTTTTTCAAGTTAACTCTAAACATACTACACGTGGCCCACAATCCAAACGTTAACACCTCCCTCCCCTCACCAGCACAACCTATCGCCGCAGAAGTCACGTTAGCATACCCCTTCCGCCCAATTCCACCTCGTTCGTTGTAACTTCTGTGCCCCAAAACCGTTGGTGTCACATTCCCAGCCCTTACTTTTCATTTAGTCTGACGACGAACAAGTGATACCTGTTCGAAAATTAACGAGTACAACTCGATTTTCCGAAGATCTTCCTTCTTTTCACTTACTACAGTAACTAACTCTAACTCGAAGGTTACGGAATGTCTCCTTTCTGCTCAGCGTAGTATTCCTATAACTGTAATGACTGTAATGGGTTATGAGAGCGGAATATCCTTTCATTTCGACTAATTATGGTGGACGTAGCATTAGTATTCGTAGTAGTACTAGTGCCAAAAGATTATCAGAGTCTGGCTTCGGGAGCCACACCGCGGTCTAGAGAGCTCTGACTCATGCCCAAATGGCTTACTATTCGCCCCAAAGACCTTCTGCCGGCGCGCACTCCTTTCAATCCAGAATCGTGCACGCAGGAACGCACTTTACTTCGCCACAATTTACACTTCCACGAACCGTTTTTTGTGAAAGCGAACGCAAAAACTCTTTTCTTAAGCTCTGCATTCTGATTGGACGCGTCTTACGACGACGAATCAATTAGCCCTGCTGCCCGCGCGCGCTGACGCAATCGAGCCCTGAGCAGCAATCACCTCGCACGCACTTTTATTGTGAGTGCGACGCGGGCAGTGTGTGCAGAAACAGTCACTGACGCCTCCAGTCATCGCCGCACACACTCACATACAATGGCCCCGCAGACAGACAAACTCAGCGAGGCCGACCGCGAACGCATCGCCTCCCTATTCAGCCAGC